ATTTGGTTGTATAAGATACATGTAATTAGAAAGATATTGAAATTTGTATTTTGATTTTCGAAAATGACCGAATTTTGAATTTTATATAATTTGAAAATTAGTAGTTTCAAATGCATCACAAGCGAAGTAAGTCCTAAAATTGCTAACAATCAATATTAATGATTAATAAATAAAGTACTTTTGGGAAGAAATTTTTTCATTCTTTATAGCTTTTGAAGCAACTTTTTATAGCAATCGAACAAAAATTTTAATAAAATAAAATTTTAATTACGTTTGACTTCAATTTAATGCGATACATTGTAGCTTTCATTTCGATAACTACGGACATTAACTATACATATGTATCTCTATTTAAGGAATGTCTCTTTCCAATTTCAAATGTTGCGCATGCCCAACGCTATTCACCGCCTTTACGCAGCTTTTGCAGTTTTGTGTTTACTTTTGTACTCAGAAGCTACTTGTAATTTATACTTGTGTCTAAGATTCCATATATTCCAATATATTTACACATGTAATATTCTATGGTATGGGGCTCCCAAGAAAATTATTAATTAAAAATTCGAGAAAATGAATCAAATCGAAGAGTAATGTAAAATGCATTGTTCTAATTATGCTAACTAAATGTTTATTTTCATAAATATACATAGAAAAGCCAATGATTAAAAAAATGCATTAACCTCCTAATGTTTACAAATGAATCAACAATATCAATTAACAATTTTAATAATTACTGTAAACAAAACAATACTTTTTTAGGAACAACTAAACATAAATGATTTATATGCGTATTATAATGTAAAAGTTAACACAATATCATTGAAATATAAGCACTATTATAATTTGAATTACAAACATTTTTTTGATATGGACAAAAATATAACATTATTTCGTTTTTTTGTTAACATATATTAGGTAACCCTTTGAAGATAAAATACCACGACATTTTAGATGAATTTGGTATCTTGTAACCCAATATGAACTTGTATTAGCGTTGAATATTCTATTTAGATCTTCTTGAGGTAGAATTTCTGTAAGTAAAAAAGCTTAATATTGGATGACATGTTATTTACTTTATTATTATTACTGTATCGAAATGCACTTACGGCCAGGATCATTATGCGTTAATAATTGCACATCATTTTCTTTAGTGAATGTCTGCAAAGCTGGTGGTACAACACAACATGTAGCTAAACTAATTTGTACAATATTTGGCTTTATCTGTTCAAATAAAGGTAATATAGAATAGACACAACACTATAGAAGTAAACATTAAAAAAAAATATAAACAATGATAATTTTACATTTGCCCATTGAAATAGGTCAATAAACATATTTGTGTTGAGATCACTTAAACCAACACTTGACAATTTGCCAATTTTCACATACTCTTCTACTCCAGCCCATAGGTGTTTCAATGATTCTAATAATTCTTCTGGACTTTCCTTACTTGAATAAGCAATTACTAAAGATTCAATTGCATTTATATTTAGAAAACTACAAACTGAAAAGAAATGATATGCAACAGAACATTATTTAAAATACAATCTGGAAATAAGAAATTATAGCTCATACCTTGATCTACTGCCTCTTTCAGTAGGCTTACATCAGGTGATGAAATAAATACCTTCACAGTTATCTTAACATCTTCTCTATTGATATCTTGCAAAGCATTATCTTCTACACCTTGAATCTGAAAATAAGTAACTTTTCATTATAACGATACATTCTCCAAAAACATTAAACAACAATTAAGAAATGATCATACAATTATTGGGTTTTCGCCAGTGCCTTCATTGTCTCGAAGTATAATTTTTAGCGTTTCAATTAACTGAAAAATAAAAAGATACCTATAATCTATCATAAATATAATATTTTACTCAGCTTTAATAGAGACATAACCTCGAGAATTATGATCCTGATTATGATATATGGAAGACTTAGTTCATAAGTTTTATCATTGAAAATTCAAAAACTGACCTCATCTGTAGGATTTTGACTTGCTTTTGCTTTTGCTTCATTTAAGGAAAGTATATTTCCAGTTCGAACTAGTATATTTTGAGATAACATAGTATGGTACAAAATCGTAAAGAATGTTAGCAAACTCGTTGTAGATGACTGACTAGAAGTATTACGAAAACTAATGACATAGATCGTAATCAACGATCACTTGCTTACGATGACTTTGATCGTAGATGACGTGGCTGACTAGGCAATTTTAAATCTAGAGATAATATCAATAAAATTCCAGCATGAAAGAATTTATATACACACATGCATGTGGCTTTCTGAATTTGTACTACAAACATCATATTATTCGAACCATTCTTAAAGTTTGCTAAGCACGAGTTGCTTTCAGGCTATCTGCGCAAAAATGCACTTGTTAGACATAATAACGTAATTAGCATTCTAGAATTACAGATTATGTAATTGTAAACAGTTGCCTGGAACATATTTCTTTGTATAATTATATATACATCATATATGTATATATAATTGTACGTATATTTATATGATGTGTGATGTGGAATTTGAGTTTTATAAATTACAATCATTACAATTATTACAATTATTTATGATTAAATTTTTGTATAATAAAAGTGATATAATTTTTTTAACAGCAAGAAGCTATCAATTTTATAATTTTTTTGGAAATTTATAGTTTTATTTACGCCCATTACAAATTCTAATGTACACACATCGAACTTACATTTTCAATATGTGTAGTTCAACAAACATAAAATGCAATGTTACATTGATAGAACTTAGTTATCGAAGTAAATTAAATAACACATTAAATTTTAATTACGATATTCTTATTGCAGGCATAATGTATAGTTGGTTTTGGTTGGTAAAATACAATTGGTGGTACTCAAAAATAGACTTAAATCAAGCAATAAGATTAATAACATAGATACGGTATTTGATTGGTACCTACAGTATCTACGTATCCACTTAATGTATTAATAAAAATTTTAAGTATAACAGATAGCGCAACAGTCGTTGTAATAGAAAAATTAAAAAACCACTCTATAAAATGGATGCATCACGGCTATCGGTGATGTGCAAAAAATAAATACATTCTGCTTAGCATTTATAATTTATTGAAGTCTATGCAGTAACAGAATAGATTGTAAAAAGAAAACTTATTAATAATAAAATTATAATTGTGCAATAAAAAATGCCTGCTGACATACTTGGATATATATATGCCGCTACAGTAGCGGCTGGTGGTGTACTTGGTTATGTAAAAGCCCGTAAGTTTATATACTATTAAACATTATTATTATTATTCTAATAAACGTTAAATACAATTTATTTATAAAATTATTTGTATTATATTTGATTAATTACTTTTCATATTTGATTCTTTATCATATAATTTTTATTTATTAAAAAGCAATTAATAGAAAATACTTTCTTAAAAAATAAAAATTATGTAATTTTTTAAAGAATCAATTCCTTCTCTGGGAGCTGGACTTATCTTTGGATCTGTTTTGGGCTATGGAGCTTATCAAACTTCTCAAGATCCCACAAATATTAGAGTTTCTATAGCAGCAACTTCACTCCTTGGTGGAATTATGGGTTATCGTTATTATAATACTGGTAAAATAATGCCAGCTGGGATAATTGCTCTACTAAGGTACTATTTTATATAATTATGTTGTATATTTGTATTCTATATAATAATTATGATAAAATTAATTTCTTTTTTAGCTGTGTAGTATTTGTGAAAACTATTGTAAGATCTTTTACTGGTACAGCCCTTGTTAATGAAACATTAAGTAAAGAGAGTAAGACAACATAAATATAAATTTTTCTGATAATTCCACAATTTTTATTTTATTGTCTAAAATATACTAAATATGCATGTATAAAATATACATAACATAGGTAGTTTAAGGTAAGGAACAATTAAATCTATAAAAAGGGAGAAGAAAGTAACTAAGGTAGACTGTACTGTGTGTATTGGGTGTATTGTGCTGGATGTATTATCTGTGGTACTTAAAATGGTTGACCTGATGAATATTAGGAATTTAAATATTGTGAGTCTGAATTCCAATGCTTGAAACCTTTTTTGTTGTATAAAACACTTCCCTTCAGGAATAAAATTTATGTTTGTTATAGTACACTATTTGTTATAGTATGTATGACTTGAATATATCTATTTCAACGAAGTTCTCTTAAATGTTATTTAATGTTGAATTATTATAAATATGTTGTTAAATAAAGAATTAAGATAATTATTGGAATTTATACTTTATTTCTATTTTGATTTTGTATCTTGTTATACAAAATGAACGTTTTTAAGCCATTGATATCTGCTGATATTATTTTGGTAGCATTGAGCATTGACGTCACTTAAACTTATTCTCTTAAATTGTGTTATTTTTATACACGTGTGTGCCTGTGTTATTTAAGCAGTTAATTAAACTCTAAATCCATCTGTATCAACATAGTGTTGGTAACGGTGGAGATGTACTGCATATTATGAAACAAGTATTGCATACAATGGAACAGGTATTCCATATCATTTCTCACTTTATTATAGAAAGATCATAGAAAAATTCGAATGTATCGTAACATAGATTGTGAACTTAACATTTACTGCCCATTGCGCAATATTACGTTATAAAGTAAAAATAATATACACAGAAGGGTTACATACAAAGGGTTTATCACAGAAAAAGAAATATTTCGTAAAAATTGGAAACGAATATAAAAAGTGACGTCGACGTTTCAAAGGACTTTAATTTATCCCATCAATTAAAATCACAAAATATATTTAATATATTTTATATTAATGTTTTGCATACGACAAATATATACTTACAATATTTCTAAAGATGTTATTTTATTAATTGCCATTAACTCATAGTAAGTACAATTTTTTTTTAAGTTCTGTTCGTAATTTATTTAAAACTACATAATCGATTGTATACGATAATCGAAGCATGTGAACTCGAAGTTCGAGTTATAAAATCGACTACGCTCTGGATTGGATGCATTTACGAACCTTTCCGGGAGCTCTTGCTCGGTGTGGTGTTTCCGTAGGAGGAAGTTCTGCGGTTTCACTAGGTTCTGCGAGTTCTTAACGAAATTAAATACGATTCACGAGTTACTACGACTGGCGCGTTGATGTTCTTTCGTAACTCGTAAGTTACGATTGAACAAACGAATGTTCTTTCTCGATTCTTTTAACGGGGACTTGGTCGCGAGAAAATTCGACAGGCACTGGTCGCAACACGAACGAAGCTTCAACCTTCATCGATCGATTTGACTGATTTTTGAGATCCAGTCACCGAAAACTTCCATCATTCCGTCAAAAACCGAGTGCCGACCCGCAGGGTGGCGATCATTTGATAAGGTACGTGTAAATTCATATTCGACATAATCTTCACGAATGCATGCATGCATCTTACAGGTCTGTCACGTGAAAATTTTAGTTATCGATGAGTCACTGTATAGTCCTTGTTGAATTTGTGCAAACTTCTCGACATATTATATCTTTAACAATAGATTAAATATTTTTCCAACAATGAATCACGTGCTCTTTCATTTTCCTTATACGACGTTTCCTTATTGTGCAAAATGCAAGATTTTCCTTTGTAATTTATGTACATTATTATCTACTAGACTATATAGTAATTTCGTTAATTATTCTTATCTGTCTTGTAAGTGACGTTAATTGATTCGAATCCAAATTATTCATTCAGTACAATAGGCATTAGCACAATAGCAGAACTTATTTTGCAAACATTATACCATCTTGCTATTTGGTAGCATCATGTTTGTAGAGCAGTTTGTATTTCGATGCTATGTTATCTTCAAGCTAATACTACTTAACTCCGTCTGATATTTCCTGTGCAAACCAGTAAAGTTATAACGAAATGTATGAATTTTATTCGAAATTTTGATGTGTCAGTTGAAGAGCTTTTCATTTGAGAGTGATAATGGAAATGTCAATATGTTAACATTCTTCTTTAAACTGATTTTTTCGTTCTTAACAATAATAATGACGTAATTTTGAAGTGATGCATTCTTATTCTGATTTATTTAAACAATATGTTACGTTTGTTAACGCATATTTTTTAATTAAAATGTATTACATTGTTTTGATTTTATTTTTTATAATTCATTAATTTAACGTCAAGGTGTATATTATCTAAATATCTTATTTGGTTATTTAATCATTTTTTGCATAAATTTCCTTTCGGTTCTCTAGAAATTAAATATGTAGAATATTATAAATTTATGCATACTGTGTATCTATAATAAAATATATTCATAATTTTTATATAAATAATTATTCCATTTTCAAACAATTGTGTTTTTATGTTGATTAAGTAAATATATCTAAAATTGTTAACAAATTTCGTGATATTACATAAGTTGTCTAATGCTTTGTATTTTTTTTTTTTTTTTTTTTTTTTTTTTGGG